ATTGAAAAGGGTAACTGGCTGGGAACCCTTCCTCGGTCAGGCCACAGGCTGAGTTCAGCATCAGACAGGATCATAGGCTGTACTCCACTGCTGGGTGGGGCTACAGGCTGGACTCTGTGGCTTGGTGTTACTGTAGGTTGGGCTCCAAGCCTTCCCAGGGTGACTCTTCAGGCTACCTGGATAAACAGGGCCAGAGTGTATGCTCAACGGCTGGGCAGGGATGTTGCTTGGCTCCTTGCCTCGCAGAGGTATATAATGGGCTCCACAGCTACCTGGGTTCTCTGGCCAGGCTTCTTGGACAGATAAAACTGGAGACTATGCTCAGCACTTTATACATGCTGTAAATTTGCTTCCCTGTCCAGGCAGGGCAGTAGAATAGGCTCCGTGGCTGATGTAGCCTGTTGACTAGAGAACCAAACCAGGCAGAACTGCCAGTCGAACTCTCTGGACAGATGGGGCCACCAATTTGGCTCTGAAGATGGTCAGAAACACTGGCTGGGCTCTCTACCTGGGTATTGCTTACAAGTAGGAAATGTAGTCTGTCAAGATCTGAGGGCTGGTTGGTATGAGCCCCATCCCCATTCTCCATCTCTATCTGATCCCCCCCACCACACACAGCTTACCCCAGTGATCGCTGTAAGGTGACACCTGAGTGGGCCTTCTGGGAAGCATCCCACAATGCTGGGGGAGCTAGATGTCCACTGAGAGTTCTCTTCTTCCACTAGAGAAACTGTAGGCCCACAGGTGCCCTCTCAGTGCAGTGCTTTGCTGATCTGGGGAAGGACAATATGGTCAGACCACAGCTGTTTTCTTACCCTTCTAATGTGGTCCTTCTTGGTCTCTGTGGACTAGGAGGGTGTATTAACATCATCCCTGGTCTGGGATTTTCACAGTGGTGTGTTCTCTACAGATAGTGGCTAGGGAGACTGAAGTTGGGAACAACTTATGTCAGCCAGCTTGATTGGTAGACTTTTCTGTACTAGTTTCTGGTCTTTCTGTTTGTGCCTTGAACCCTTTAACACCAGTTTATGGATACTTTTCTCACAATAAAATAAAACAAAGAGGAATATAAAAGAAACAGATTATATTAAAATAGTTAATATATTTAAAAATAAATTGTGACATAATAAGATATGCATCTTGATTGAAGCATTACAAAATAAGATCTAGTGGTAGCTTTAATAACTAGTGAAATCTTGAAGTATTAATGACTTTAAATAATATTTCAAGATACCTGCCTCAAATTTAATGTGATATGAAAATATTTATTATTTCTATTAGTGGAAAGTTAGAGGTGCTATTAATACTTTGGTCTGTTACCTACATAGTTAATCAAAGGAAATATTAAATGTTAGGTTAAAGTTTATAAACTAAAGATACAGTATTTTTCATATCTAAGTTCAGAAGCCCCTGAATTGTCTCTATTAATTCCCAAAGCGGGGCTTTGAACCCCTCGTTAAAAACCTCTGCCCAATACATATCTTTGTAAATTATGCTGCAGTTATATTTCCTTCTATGTTAATCATCCTTTTTTTCTATACATGTTTTGTGAACATGACCATAATCTCCCTAGCAACACAATTTCCTCAGCATTTAAGAATCATTTATATGCACTAATGTTCTAAAGTAAAACACACTTTTATTTTTCCCTTAACATTGAAATCAATTTTTTGCAAGTGCTAGTTTCATTTGTCAATGTTCTATATGTAAGTAGGCCTACAAATAATTGATTTTTACCCCTGATATCCTGAAAACACTGGCTTAGATTTTTTTCTCAGTAGATCAAATTTAAATTATACTGATACAAACTTTCAAAGCTGAAATAATAACTCTAAGAATCAACTAAATTTAGCTCACATTATTTGGAACTAACTCATAATTATATATATTAAAAGCTCCTCAACAAGCTCAGAATATGGTGTACTTTTTAAAATGTTCCCATGTGTTCCTGTATTTTAGGACATCTCAACATCTTCCACACAATGAAGTCAGTTTCTAGCTTAAATTTATATATTTTGAAATAAGGAAAACATTAGTATTTTTATTAATAACCTGAAAATTTGGGCTTGTTCTGTATTGATTAAATTATATATATATATATATAGTGTTTTTAAAATAAGATATTCATCCTGCTAAATAACTAAAATACATTAGTCTGGTTGGAAAAAGCCTATTGACCTTTCTGGAGAGATAATACTAGTGTTAACTCTCTGGGAAGCAGTGTGTCCTTAATTATTTTTTGTTGTTTTTGTTGTTATGAGGAAACAAACATCTCCTGTGAGCAATATACTATGATTATGCATGGATGGAATTTAGCATTGTAATCAAATAGAACATACAACAAAGTTAATCTGATGAAACATATTTAATGCTATGCATTATCAATGTGCTACATGGTAATTAGACATAAACTGTAAATAGCTCCTCTGAATGGCAAATTGAATGTTACTTTTACATCACTGAAGCAAATGTTTCTGGGATGGGAGGGAGAAAAAAGCAGTAGTGATTTTAATCTTTTCTCTTGCCTGAGGAAAGCAGTCACCTTTGTGTTCTGGAAAATTGAGTAATTGTTTCAATCCAGGACCTTCCTCCTTAACAAAAGATACTCAGATGTTTGATAAATAAACATACTACTAACTTCAATAACTCACACTGAGTTACATATCATCTGTGCTTATACCCAAGTGGCACAATCCCAATCACACATACTATTAAATTACATCTTAAGTTGTTTTCTCCTACAAGCAGAACTAAAGAAATGATTTTTGATTGAGCAAGGTAAGGAATGAGAGGAAATTTCAGAGTATCTGGCACTGAGAAGAAAAGCAATCTGGCTTGAAAAAAGTCATCAGTGGTATGCTTTCAACAAAAAGAAGGCACTAAATTTGTGGGGCAAAAGATGCAAGGGGTAAAACACATGAATATGTGAAAAAAAAAAGGAAGAGATAAAGGCTTAGAAAAGTGAATGGAAGTCTAGAAAAAAGGAAGAGATGACACAAGCCCAGGTCAACCCATTCACAGCAAACAGGAATTACATGGACACATCTGGTGTAACATACACTAAAGGAGCCTGGCAGGATCTACACTTTATGATTCTCCATCACTCATCTTCCCAAAGTATAGGCCAAGATTTAGCATACTACTGTGATTTCAAAAGCAGTTGTTTCCACTGCATAGTGGATAAAATTAAACCAGCAAATTCAAGAATTGAGACATAATTTATCGCCATCTCCAAATTGAAAGCAATCCGTTCTTCCAAACCGAACCAGGCTTACCCAATTTAAAGAGAAACAAATAGGTATTGTTTATGTTACAAAATAAAGTGAAACATAAAAAAGTCCCACATAATAAATTTCTATATATATATTTTAAAAGCTTGTTGCGTACTAGAGGGACATTCACAAGTGAGAATCTTTCTCTGGTTCTTATATTCCCTAAAGAGTTGAAAATATTACTTAAAAAATAATCAATGTTTTGAATATTATTGGCAAATAAAGACCACATTTTAAATAATTACATTCTTCTTTATTTACCAAAGTATGTGAAGGAAAAGCTACATAGTTTTAAAGGGTAAAATAAATGGCTAAATTGATTAATTCTTCAAAATATGGTTCTATTTTACTATAATTCTAGAGAAAAGACTAACAAGTTTTGGAGTCAGAAATTTCTGTCTCATTGTACGTTAAAATTAAACTGTTCAAGTGAAAAAAAGAGGGAAAAGTAAATCATGTTTAGGCTTCATTCCTCACTCATTCTATTTGTGCAAAGAATCATGGGACTTAGATGGACAGGACAAATGTGATCAGCTCTCCATTTCTACTCAGAGAAATATGCACTTGCTAGTTGCACACTTTTTTTTAACTTTTCCACAGGGGGATTTATCAAAGTGTAACTCTTACTGAGATTAACGTAAGTATGTCATGATAATAAAGAGCCTACATAAACTCATTAAACCTTAGCCCTAGAAAATAAATTTCTATTTACTTATATTTATATTATAATATCTATATTTAAAACATTTACATGAGGTAATCTGTAATGCAAGCTTACATTACAAAATGGAGGAACTTCCATATAGACATAGCCTGCTCAAATGACAGACACTGGTTCTCTGAAATTTAGAGACACTCTGAGGGCAGTATGATAAAACTCTCACAGCATAAATTACTGAGTCTTTTAAAAATCAAAGCAAGCTTTATGGGTTAAAAACAAAAAAAGAAAAACCCTACAATGACTATGCCCTTACAGGTAAAATCTTCACAGCTCTTCCTTCCAGAAATTAAATTAGACAGGACCAGACATACCAAGAACTGTAATAATATGTTAGATCTTGTAGAGTGCTTTATTCTACAGAGCACATTATTTAATACATCTGTATTCTCTGATGTGGAAACAGAGATTTAGCAAGCTAAAATAAGTGTCTCATGGAAGGCAGAATAATGGAACAGAAAGAACAATAGATTTAGAACTATGAAAGATCTTGTTCTGAATCCCAGCTCTGCTAATCTGCCACTTACCATCTATGTGACATTGGGCAATCTCTTTAAGCCTCAGTTTTCTGTAACATGAGGACAATAGTATGTACCTCATAGGATTGTTAATAGGATTCAATGAGATAAAATATATAAAGTGCCTGATACAATTCCTAGCACATGTTATGTGTCTAACGAAAAATAACTTTAACATTTACCAATTGATCGTGAGCAAGGTATTTAACATTTTGACCTCCCCACTATTATATCCATAAAACTGTAATAACATTTACTTAACAGAGTTGTTGTGATGATGAAATACATGCAATTTTATGTACAGTGAATGATAGGCAGAAACAAAACTAGAACGTAGCCTTCTATGTTGAATACTCTTACTGGTAACAAAGCTAGATACTTCTGATTCTATTACCAAAATATAGAAGAACATTTTCCCACAACTCCATTGAGAAAATAACAATCTAGAAATACCTGTGAAAATGAATTTTAAAAGGAAAATATGCAAGTTACCTGAATTAAGGCTTCATTCAGCATGTCTTCATTAACCTCCAGAATAATATTTTTTATATCTTCATATGGCATACGATATGATCCTAGGAAGATAGCTTAAAATAAAAGTAGATTTTATTAAAAATAGAATAGCATCAAAATTTTAAAGGCCTAATAAATACCTTATTCTCATTTTCATAGACATAAAATATGAAATTTGTCAGCAATATTAATTAACAGTTAGGAAAAAACAAAAGTAGTTTCCATCTGAGAGACTACACTACTCATCTAGGGCAAAATGGCCTATTATTTCAGGTTCTAATGATTACATGTTGTGCATACTTACATAGAAATTAAAACCCCTAATAATGCTGATGATTACATGCTTATGCATTTTAGATCAAGCTGATACAACGTGACTCATGAGAGATTTTATTTCAAGTTGGCCTTTTAATTCAGCATTGAATTTAATATGGCTATTGTCAGATTCATTAAACACAGTACTTCTCAGAGATGACAATAAAGTAACCAAATACAAAAAAAATCGTATCAATCTACTTTGCAATTCTCCCACATAGGAAAAAATTAAAGTGTTTGAATCATCAGTGTTATCTAAATTCCTGCTGAAAATCATGTGGTATACTAGGAGTAGCTCTATATTTTCACAATTTCCCTTCTCAACTTTTTCTTTATTGGATATATATTATGTCATACTGAAATAAATCAACAGATTACACTGAGAAAAGCTTAAACTAATTCAGAAAATATTTTTCAACAACACATTCCACTTCAACTTCCACTAAGCACACATTTTAATGAACATTCATGTGTTATCACCAGAACATGAATATATTCTTATGATTTTTTTCATGTAAAGGTCTGTATTTCACTGGCGCCTAAAGGAAAGACAAATCCTCACTATCTAGGCAAATGATTACCTAGACATAAACACCAAGTGAGATCTCCATAATCTAAATAAATAATGTTTGACAGATATCTTAACTAGCAATTAAGATCATACTGTGTTTTTTTTTAATTACTGAGCATTCACTTTATAAAGAAAATGTACTCTCAGTTAAGCAATGTACACATTCACAACTATTAGGAGACTTCTTTTCTGACAGCAACATTCCAACTCACAGGAGAATGATGACTTGTTTATTTTAATCTGATTCCCTACTGTACAGCCCTTAACAAAATAAACTCCCATGGTATTTCCTTGTATAATTAGAAATGCTTGATGTGTTGTAATTTCTCAAGCATAGTGTTTGAGTATCCTCAGAATATAAACATTTGTCTACTGTGGTAAAAAAAAAAAAATGCTGAATTTAATACAGAGGGGAGAATACATCAAAGTAAAATGTAAGGCCTAGTTAAATGAAGGTGGGTTTAACTGTCCAGAGGCTTTAGCAAAAGTGTATTTAATGGCTGACTGATTTGTTGAAGGCTTCAAGGCTCACTAAACAGGTTTTTATTTTTATTTAAATTTAGTTAACATAAAGTACAATATTGGTTTCAGGACCAGAATTCAATGATTCATCACTTACATATAACACTCCGTGCTCATCACAATGAGTGCCCTCTTTAATACCCATCACCCATCTAGCCCATCCCCCACCCTCCTCCCTCCATCAACCCTCAGGTTGTTCTCTATCATTAAGTCTCCTACGGTTTGTTTCCCTCTCTCTTTTTTCTTTTCCCCATTCCCACATGTTCACCTGTTTTCTTTCTTAAATTTCTCTGACTGACTTTTTCACTTAGCATAATACATATAAGCTGCATTCAACTCATTGCAAATGGTAACATTTCATTCTTTTTGATGGCTGAGTAATATCCCATTGCATATATATATATATATATATATATACACACACACATGTATATATATGTGTGTGTATATATATATATACCAAATCTTCTTTATGCATTCATCAGTCAACAGACATTTCGGCTCTCTCCTTAGTCTGGCTATTGTTGATGATGTTGCTACAAATAGCAGGGTGCATATAATCCTTTGAATGTATATTTTTGTATCCTTTGGATAAATACCAGTAGTGCAATGGCTGGATCTTGGAGTAATTCTATTTTTAATGTTTTGAGGAACCTCCAAACTGTTCTCCAGAGTGACTGCACCAGTTTGCATTCCTACCAAAAGTGCAAGAGGACTCCCATTTCTCCACATCCTCACCAAAACCTGTTGTTTCTTGTGTTAATTTTAGCCATTCTGCAAGTATGACATGGTATCTCATTGGGGTTTTGATTAGTATTTCCCTGATGATGAGTAACGTTGAGCATTTTTTCATGTGTTTGTTAGGATCTGGATGACTTCTCTGGAAAAGTGTCTATTTGTGTCTTCTACCCATTTTTTTTTAAAGATTTTTATTTATTTACTTGGGGGTGGATAGAAAGAGACAGAAACAGAGTGACAGAGAGAAAAGAGAGGCAGACAGAGACAGAGAATCTCAAGCAGACTCCACCTGTAGCAGGAAGCCCAAATCAAAGTTCAATCTCACAAACCTGAATCATGACCTGAGCCCAAATGAGGGGTCAGAAGCTTAACTGACTGAGCCACCCAGGCACACCTTCTTCTGCCCATTTCTTAACTGGATTATTTGTTTTTTGGGTGTTGAGCTTGAAAAGTTCTTTATAGATTTTGGATGCCAACTCTTTATCAGATATGTCGTTTGCATATATTTTCTCCCACTGCAGAGGCTACCTTTTTGTTTTGTTGATTGTTTCCTTTGCTGTGCAAAAAAAAACTTAATGAAGCCCCAATAGTTTATTTTTGTTTTTGCTTCCCTTGTGTCCAGAGACGTGTCCAGTAATAAGTTGCTATGGTCGAGGCCAAAGAGGTTTCTGCCTGTGTTCTTCTCAAGGATTTTGATGGTTTCCTGTCTCACATTTGGTCTTTCATTGATTTTGAATTTAATTTTGTGTATGGTGTACAAAAGTGGTCCACTTTCATTCTTCTCCATGTTGCTGTCCAGTTTTCCTGACACCGTTTTCTGAAGAAACTATCTTTTCTCCACTGGATATTTGTTCCTGCTTTCTCAAAGATGAGGTGACCATATACTTGTGGGTCCATTTCTGTGTTTTCTATTACAGTCCATTGATCTATGTGTGTATTTTTATGCCAGTACCATACTGCCTGGATCACTACATCTTTGTTACGTAACTTGAAATCTGGAATCGTGTTGCCTCCAGTTTTCTTTTCCTTTTTCAAAATTGCTTTGCCTATTCAGGGTCCTTTGTAATTCCATACAAATTTTAGGATTGTTTGTGAAAAATGATAGTGGTATTTTGATAGGGATTGCATTAAATGTGTAGATTTCTTTGGATAGTATACACATTTTTTTAAAGATTTTATTTATTTATTTGACAGAGAGAGATACAGCGAGAGAGGGAATACAAGCAGGGGAGTGGGAGAGGGAGAAGCAGGCTCCCCGCTGAGGAGGGAGCCCTATATGGGGCTCAATCCCAGGACCCTGGGATCATGACCTGAGCTGAAGGAAGACGCTTAATGACTGAGCCACCCAGGCGCCCCTGGATAGTATATACATTTAAACAGTGTTTTTCCAATCCATGAGCATAGAATGCTTTTCCATTTCTTTGTGTCCTCTTCAATTTCTTTCATAACTATTCTATAGTTTTCAGAGTACAGATCTTTTACTTCTTTAGTTTAGTCCTAGGTATCATGGTTTTCAGTGCAATTGCAAATAGGATCGATTCCTTAATTACTTTTTCTGCTGCTTTGCTACTGGTGTATAGGAATGCAGCAGATTTCTGCAAGTTCATTTTATATCCTGCAACTTTGCTGAATTCATATATTACTTCTAGCAAGTTTTGGTGGGGTCTTTCGGGTTTTCTACATAAAGTATCATGTCTGCAAATAGTGAAAGTTTGACTTCTTCCTTGCCAATTTTGATGCCTTTTATTTCTTTCTGTTGTCTGATTGCTGAGGCTAAGACTTTCAGTATTATGTTAAACAGTAATGGTGAGAGTAGACATCCTTGTCTTGTTCCTGATCATAAAGGAAAAGCTCTGTTTTTCCCCATTGAGGATATTACCTGTGGGTCTTTTGTATATGGCCTTCATGATGTTGAGGCATTTTCCACCTGTTTCTACTTTGTTGAGTGTTTTTATCAAGAAAGGACAGTGCATTTTGTCAAATGCTTTTTCTGCATCTATTGAGAGGATCAGTGGTCCATATCCTTTCTTTCATTACTGTGGTGTATCACATTGATTAATTTACAAATATTGAAACACCCCTGCTGCCTAGTAATAAATCCCACTTGATCATGTTGAATAATTCTTTTAATGTACTGTTGAATTAAATTAGCTAGTATTTTATTGAGAATTTTTGCATCCATGTTCATCAGGGATATTGGCCTGTAGTTCTCTTTCTTAGTAGGGTCTCTGTCTGGTCTTGGAATCAAGGTAATGCTGACTTTATAGAATGAATTTGGAAGTTTTCCTTCCATTTCTATTTTTTGAAACAGTTTAAGAACAGTATTAACTCTTCTTTAAACGTCTGGCAGAGGGCGCCTGGGTGGCTCAGTTGGTTAAGCGACTGCCTTCGGCTCAGGTCATGATCCCGGTGTCCCGGGATCGAGTCCCACATCGGGCTCCCTGCTCAGCAGGGAGTCTGCTTCTCCCTCTGACCCTCTTCCCTCTCGTGCTCTCTGTCTCTCATTCTCTCTCTCAAATAATAAAATAAATAAAATCTTTAAAAAAATAAACGTCTGGCAGAATTCCCCTGGGAAGCCATCTGGCCCAGGACTCTTGTTTGTTGGGAGATTTTTGATTACTGATTCAATTTCATTGCTAGTTATGGGTCTGTTCAAATTTTCCATTTCTTCCTGTTTCAGTTTTGATAGTTTGTAAGTTTCTATGAATTTCTTTATTTCTTCCAGATTGTCCAGTTTGTTGGCATATAATTTTTCATAGTATTGCCTTATAATTGTTTGTATTTCTGTGGTGTTGGCTCTGATCTATCTTCTTTCATTTGTTATTTTCTCTATTTGGTTCCTTTCTCTCTCTCTCTCTCTTTTTTTATTTTATTGGGTCTTTCAAAGAAGCAGCTCTTAGTATTGTTGATCTAACGATTTTTTATTGTTGTTGTTTCTATATCACTGATTTCTCCTATAATCTTTATTATTTCTCTTCTTCTGTTGGATTTAGGCTTTATTTCCTGTTCCTATTTTAGCTGCTTTAGGTATAAGGTTGGTTGTGTATTTGAGACCTTTCTTGTTTCTTGAGAAATGCTTGTATTGCTATATAATTTCCTCTTAGGACTACCTTCGCTGCATCTGAAAGGTTTTGGAGTGTCATGTTTTCTTTTTCATTTGTTTCCATGTAATTTTTTTTTATTTTTTCTTTAATTTCCTTGTTAACCCATTCATATTTTAGTAGGATGTTCTTTAACCTCCATGTATTTGTGGTCTTTCCAAAATTTTTCTTGTGATTGACTTCAGGTTTCACAGTGTTGTGGTCTGAAAATATGCATGGTATGATCTTGAACTTTTTGTACTTCTTGCAGCCTGATTTGTGACCCAGGATGTAATCTATTCTGGAGATTGTTCCATGTAGACTCAAAAAGAATGTGTGTTCTCCTACTTTACAATGAAATGTTGAGAATATATCTGTGAAGTCCATCTGGTCCACTGTGTCATTGAAAGACATTGTTTCCTTGTTGATTTTCTGCTTAGATGATCTGTCTAATGCTCTAAGTAGGGTGTTAAAGTTACCCAGTATTATTGTATTATTATCAATGAGTTTCTTTATCTTTATTATTGATTGATTTATATATTTGGGCTCTCCTAATTTGAGGGCATAAATATTTACAATTGTTAGATCTTCTTGATGGATAGAACCCTTTTTGATGATATAATGCCCTTCTTCATCTCTTGTTACAGTCTTTGCTTAAATATCTAGTTTCTCTGATATGTTTATGGCTACTCCAGCTTTCTTTTGACATCCATTACCATGATAGATGCTTGTCCATCCCCTCACTTTCAATCTGCAAGTGTGTTTAGGTCTAAAATGAGTCCCTTGGAGGGAGCATATAGATAGATCTTGCTTTTTTTAATCCATTCTGATATGCTATGTCTTTGATTTGGGCATTTAGTCCATTTACATTCAGAGTGATTCATATCTTTAAGTAAAGATATGAATTTAGTACCATTGTGTTACCTGTAGAGTTGGTATTTCTGGGGATGTTTTCTGTTCCTTTCTAGTCTTTGCTGCTTTTGGTTTTTTTCTTCTCCATTCAAAGATCCCTCCTTAAAATTTCTTGCAGGGCTGGTTTAGTGGCCATGTACTCCTTAAGTTTTTGTTTGTCTGGGAAACTCTTTATCTCTCCTGTTCTGAATGACATCTTTGCTAGATAAAGAATTCCTGGTTGCATATTTTTCCCATGCAACACGTTGAATATATCCTGCCACTCTCTTGTGGCCTGCCAAGTTTCTGTGGACAGACCTGCTGCAAATGTGATCTGTTTTCCCTGTAGTTTAAGGACTTTTTTTCCTTTGCTGCTTTCAGGATTCTTTCCTTGTCTGTATTTTGTGAATTTGACTATGATATGCCTTGGCAATGGTGAGCTTTTGTTAGATTTAATAGGAGGTCTTTTTGCTTCTTGGATTTTGATGTCTGTATCTCCTAGATTAGGGAAGTTTTCAGTTATAATTGAAACAAATAAACCTTCTGCCCCCTTTTCTCTTCCTGCATGTTCTGGGATTCCTTCCAAAAGGTGGTAGCTTTTCTAATTGTTGACTTGCAGTTTTTGTTCTCTCAGACCTCCGAATATTTTCTTGAGCATTCAGAATGATTTGATAACTACTTAGCTGTGTTCAAGAGCTATGACAAGCTTTGGTTCCCCAGCTCCTTCACCATCTTAATTCCTTCCCCCGGTTCACTACCAGTAGTTAAGTGCAGTGGTTAACAATATAACTCTCTAACATCAAAATTACTTCAACTATAAAGGCATAGCAATAAAAGGATTTCCCCAATGTGACCAGTCAATAGTCCAAAACTATCACACCTAGGTCTAGGCAGAAAGGGGAAACATAACACTCTTTTGAACTCTTTGAGTGAACCTTATGTCTTACTCTGTAACAGTGCTTAATTATCAGTATTTTCCAAAGCTTTATTATTCATAAGTTTCATCTGGCCTGAGGAAGACTAAATTATGATGGTCTGAATGACAAAATGGCAACTCAAATCACATTTACACACAATTTTGTTTCTAGCAGATGCTAAATATACCTGTGCAAATCAGTTACAACTTTGTGTAAAAATACTCAACAACTCCTCATCACCACCATCACCACCACCCCTTACACAAAAAACATCACATACACAGATTCTGGGCCGTTTTGGGATCCAAAATTCTCAATTCTTTCACTTTCTTCTTTGCAGGGAGGATCTTCTTTTCTTCTGAAGCTTCTACATTCTTTTGAACTAAAGGAAAAAAGTTTATTCATAAACAATAATGGTACTAATCCAATCACATGAAATAAATTAGTAAGGCATATTAACTACATTAACAAAGCTTATGCCAAAAATCAATAATGTGTTTATTTCATTAGTTCAAGGAAGAGGATAAACACAATAATATAGACCCATTCAGAGGTTTCTCTACAACTTAAAGATCAGCACTTAAGCAGAAAAGATAAGCCAAATAGTACCAAAAATCAATTGCAGCTTCTAACCTAATGTGCAACATTCATTACTCCTTTACCAGACACCTACAGTAGCACTGGAATTAAATACATAGTAAAATCTCCCTAATTTGGACTAATTGAGGAAAAAAGCAGATATGCACTTATCCTAAAATATGCTAAAATTTAGACATGTCTTTAATTCAGTGGAACTGCTTTAAATATGTGACTTTAACTGCTAAACGGGTTGTCGTATAAAAATCCCTGTGAAGATTGCTTTGAAGAATAAATATGAACCATCTGCAAGTTGCACAACAGCAACATTTGCATACACATAATTAATTAACCTCAAAGACTTGGTCTTTTGAGTAAGTTATCTTTGTCTCCATGACAGTTTTTAGTACTATTTGCCTTCTTAGAAGAAAATATTTAATTATGCTCTATTCAGAAGGTAATCCTCTAGACCTGAACAGTTCAAATAACCTGAAACTGTGAGAAGTAGCAGTGGCTTTAGCCCCCAAAACCTCCATCAGCTCTACCTCAGAGAACCCATCTCAAAAACCAAAGTAAAAAATAATGTGGCTATCTGTTGTGAAAATGAAGCTTTATGGCAAATCCCTAAACCCACCTATACAAAAATTCCACAGCTACCATTGTACTCAGGTGTTGGCAGTTTACTTCTTCTTATATAAAAATAGGGTTGTAGGTAATGGGACCATTAAAAAATATGAGAAAACTAAAGCCAACATTTTTTTTTCATTCAAGTAGTGATATGCTTTTATCCCCAAACTCATGCTGCTAAACTTCATCATTGAATCATATGACCATAATAATAATGCTTATTACTTTTAAAAATTTAATTTCATTTTGAGGAAATCGTTATTTTTATTATTTTAACTTATCTGATTTTTGTTAAAGAGATCATAAATGAGTTACTGATTTTCTTTAGAGGAAAACCAACACACTACTACAGTACATTTTTGCTAAGCTATGTGTTCACAGATGTTAGCATCTGGAAAACTTTCCATACATGTTATAGAATACATCAAATACTGCAAGTCCATTAAGATCCCCCTCTGTTTTACTGGTGAAAAATATAGGAAAATTAAGTGAACTTCCTAGAAAAAATAACATAAAATTAATTACCTGAATAATTATGTCCTAATATTTAGTTCTAAGCTTTATCACTATGACCTAATTAAAGTGATGCAGAGTCTAAGCAGACTAGATAATAATTACACTTGTGAAAATCATGATCTCAAGTCCAAGCCAGGTTAAGACTCCTCCATATAAAGAAATGACAGTCCAAAAATCATACCCTTTGTTAATTAAAAAAAAAAGGTACCTGAATCATATTTAAATTACTTCTAGAATCATTCAGAAAATTTTTCCCTAAGAAACAGTCAAGGAAACTGTCTTAATCTCCCAATATGCCTTAATCCCCTCTATTGGAGACTAGTTAACCAAGTACATATAGGGTGAAAATGCTGTAGTATAATGGATATTGTAAGATTTTCTGCAAACTAACAAGACTCTGGAGTAACCCAGACAAACATAATGTTCATTTTATATGACTTCATATTTTTGTATTTTTTTATTAAAATATTCCAACTTCTCCCCTTTTCAAATTAACAAATTGCTTAAAATTAAGATTAGATGTCTTAAATATCTTAAATCCTAATATATTTCCCTTATAGTATGTAAATTGGCTTTATCTTAGGTTGAAGAAATGATAACAATTTCATGATTGGGCACTGCTATTTTGAGAATTACTAGAGCAAAGCTAGTTTAAAATAGTTCCCTAATCAGATAGCTTTTCACAAACAATAAAGTTTTTGCCATGATCAGTAAATATTAACCAATGGCTATTAATGCCTTTGGCTTTCTTGTCTTTAAAAGCATTCCTTAGTGATCACAACCACAGGCTTAGATAAATAGAGAATTTGAAGAGAGGTAATGACATATGAAACTTATCCAGAGAGTACTGAAGGCTTCTTATGTTAAAAATGTCCTGCTTTCATAATGTTTCAAACTATTACCTGTCCTTGGATGCTTTTATTACATATGTTTCAAATGCTTTAAAATTAAATATTCCATAACTTTATTAAAATATGGGCAATTTAGTAACTCAACTAAAGATATTTCTAAAGATATTTCTCCAAAGAAGACATAGAGATGGCCAACAGGTATACGAAAATACCCTCAATATCATGAGGGAAATGCAGATCAAAACCATGAGATATCACCTCACAGATCTTTGAATGGCTCTTACCAAAACCAAAACAAAGTGTTAGTGAGGATGTGGTGGAGGAATTGGAACCCTTGTACACTGTTGGTAGAAATGTGAAATGGTGTAGCTGCTATAGAGAACACTATGGAGATTCTACAAATAATTAAAACTAGAACTACCATATGATGTACCAATCCCACTTCTGGGTATATAACCAAAAGAACTAAGAATCTCAAAGAGATAGCTGCACTCCCATGTTTACTGCACTATTATTCACAAAACAGCCAAGATATGAAAAGAATCTAAACGTCCATCAGAGAAATGTGGCATATACATATAACGAAATGTTATTCACCCTTAAAAAAAAAGAAGAAAATCCTGCCATAAATAATAACTTGGATGAACCTGGGGAACATTACAGTAAGTGAAATAAGGAAGTCATAGAAAGACAAATACTGCATAATTATGAAGCATCTAAAATGTCAAACTCATAGAAACAAAAGAGTGAATTGTGGTTGCCAGGGACTGACGGTAGGAGAAGTGGGGAGTTGCTGCTCAATGTGTATAAAGTTTCCATTACATAAGATGAATAAGTTCTAAAGATATGTGGTACAAAATTATAGCTATAGTTAATAATACTGTATTATGCACTTAAAATTTGTGAGCAGGTAGATCTCATGTGAAAAGTGCTTATACCAAAAATATCATAATGTTAAAACTTAAAATAAATTACAGTGATTTTGTAATTTGAAATTATTTGAATGGGACTGAAGAAATTTTTTAAGTCTCAATACAAAAACTTTAATAATTGATTTTGTCATCAATGGCCCTATGGTCCCCATGTTCATAATGAGGCCTATAATCAAATGTTATCTTTTGATATGCAAATGAAAAACCATATAGCCACTGGTTTTAAATCTGATGATTAATTTGAGTGCTTAAATTATCACTGCTAATTGACCAAATAATAATGAAACATCATAAAATACTGTCTGTAGAAAGATAATGATGTGTAATAAAGACATTTGTATTATTATTAAATGTGTTAACAGCAAGATACTAATTATATAAGATAAAATGCCTATTAAGTATTCTTATATTTCCTTTAACATACGGATTTTTATCTGTAATTATTCTATAAATTTATTCCTTTACAGTTGAGGGGTGCTCATTGGCGTAAATAAACATGGCTATAATCTATTCCTGATCTAATTTAGGCAATGTTCATAAATCCCCTATTAATTTCTGTTATCTCAGTGGGTACAGACAACATGTGACAAAATATTTGTAAGATGTAGCAAATATTAAGATATTATAAATGGGTAACATTGAATGATTTACATAATGATAACTACTATATATCATAATAAACTTTTAATAACTACTTTGTCTCAAAATGCAATGAGAAAGATTGATTCATAAAGTCAGCATCAATACTATTAATTCATTCATTTATCCAGCAAATACCTGTTGAAGACCTACTATGTGTAAGCCTAGGCACAAGCATATAGACTTAAATGTCTACTCATTTTTCTAAAAAACATGGTCATATATAAACTACTAATTAGGGAAATATCTCCAAAGATATCTAACATTTATAATTTTCTTTATCCATAATAATATAGTTTGAATGAATATATGCATATCACTCAGAAAATTCTTTTTGTTATTGGAATTAGTTTCATATTAACAAATCCTGTATCTTAAATCAGCATCAACTGATGTATTACATCATATTAGAAGGAATATGTGGAAAAGCAAAAATATGACACTTTCCAGTAAGTATACTGTATACAAAACTAGGATAAATAAAGCCAGTAACAGTATTGATAAAAAATCACCTAAAAATATTTATGTAACTTTATTCATACATATGTGTATATCAAGTAAGTAAACGCCCAACTTATTGTAGATATATATTGATATAAAAATTGTGATCACCCTATATAAATACATATTTTTCCATTTGTATACATTCCAGAAGTGATTCTAACTACACGGAAATAATTTTTTATGTATTAGTTGAAATATGTGTTAAACTTCAATAAATAATTGCATGTTAAAATGAGTGCAAATATGAAAATGGCAGGAGGGAAAATCTACTATGATTTTTGTGCAATAGCTGCAATAAATTTATATTATATATATATCTCTTTTATACAAATATATATATCACATAAAAGGGGAAAGTATGATAATAAGAACTACAACAATAACAGTGATAGTAGTACTAGTAGTACTAACCATGATAACAACCATCACAATCACCACCAAAATCAACTTTTATTAAATACCTCCTCTGTCATCTTATATAATAGGTATTACCATTGTAATCTTATAAAGGAGGAAGCTACAAAATAGAAAATTTGAGTCATTTGCCCAAGATGATACAGCAAGTAATAAAAAGATGCTCAACCTCACCTGTCATCAGGGAAATGCAAATGAAAACAACCAATGACCACTTCACAGTCATCAAATTGAAGTAACAAAAGTCTTGTAATACCAAGTATGGATGAGGAGGCAAAAAAATAAGAATTTGTGCCAACAGTGGGAGTAAAAATTAGGATAAC